TTTTTTTTTTTTTTTTTTTTTTTTTGCAGAAACTTATAAAATCCTAAATTCATATGGAATAGCAAGAACAAAGTTGGACTCAAACTTCTGATTTCAAGACTCCTTGCAAAGCTTCTGTACTCTGAATGGTGTGGTTCTAGCATGGGGACAGATGCATAGGTCGGTGTGCTAGTTCAGCCAGGTGTCTGGTCAGTTGACTTTGTTTTGTTTTTTGAGACATGGTCTTACTATGTAACCTTGTGTTAACCCTGGCTGACATGGAACTTACCAGGTAGGCCAGACTGGGCTGCATCTGCCTCCTGCGTGCTCAGTTTAAAGATGTGTGCCGCCATCTGACCAACAGTTGACTTTTAACAAGGGTGCAAAACCATCCAGTGCAAAGGAATGAGCTTTTCAACAATTCCATGTCCCATGTAAACCAATGAATTTAGACCTCATTCTATATATATCCCGAAGTCAGGATGAATCAGAGACCTAAAAGTAAGGGCTAAAATGTTACAAAACCAGCCAACTGAAACAGTTTGGAGGACAAAGGTCTGTGCCTCTACTTCCTGAGTACCCGGCATGCTCCAAACTAGGTTTTAAAGAAATGGGATTACTAGGCATGCCATAATCATACAAAAAAAGAAAAGGAAGGAGAGGGAAAGTATGAAAGCTAAAAGGTACTTGCACGGCAGAGCACCAGGACATTTGGTAGGGTAGGAAGGAAGGGCCCAGAATGTGAGCCAGTGTGGCCTGGGAGCCCAGCAACCATGAGCCCTTAGGTGGACAGAAGCAGCTGAGGATAGCTATTTGTCACTGCTCTCTATTAACAGTAGGGCATATTTTCTCTAAGATTTCAGAGACTATATAAGCCTATTTCTAGTCCCCTCTGCCACATAAATTTATTTGCCTTTTTTTTTTTTTTTTTTTTTTTTTGGTGAGCCCAACTATATCCTCTTTGTTTCAGACTATAGATCAAGTATGAATGCTGCTTATATTCTTGTGGGCCTGTTTTGTGTGAGTGCATCCAGCAGATGGCGATAGTGTCCTCATTTCAGATTCTTGCTCTAGAACAGCCCTGGCTTAATAGGAACACAGTGTAAGCTATAAGTATCATTGCCAGTTTTCTTTTCTTTTTTTGAGACAGAATCTCATGTAACTCAGGTTAATCTCAAACTTGATATGTAGCTGAGGATCGTGACCTTTTGTAAATTAAGCTGTTCTTAGACAGTTTCATACATGTCTACAATGCGTTCTGTTTACTCTGCCGTCCATCCTCCCATCCCTACCCTACTGTCGGTGTCCCTTGACCCTACAGGTGCTTTTCTCATATTCATGTCTTGCATTGCCACCCAGATTGTAACTGGGATTGTAACGGATTGTAACTGGGATTGTCTGCGTGACCTTGGGTTTAGAACTATCCCCTGGAGCCTGGTGGGCACACCAGCAGGTACATGTTTGAAGAGAATGACCTTCCCCCAGAATTCATCAATAGCCAGTAACTTCAGCAGGAAGGAGTAGGGCCTCATGAGCACTCCATGCATGATTGCAGATGCAGGCTCTGCAGCTTCTGTAAGATCATGTGTATGATGTGCCCTGAAGACAGCGTGTCACTGCCCTTTCACCCTGTCTTCTGTCCCTTACATACTCTACTCCCTGTTTAGGACTGAGCGCTCTCAGCCATCGCTTAGTCTCAGTACCCTGAGCAGCCACGAGTCTGCATTCACTGTCATTCCCTGTCCAGAACAGACAGTCACAGGGCAACTGGAAGTGTTGATACTGACTTTCTGACCCTCTTGTCTGTGCCTTCACCTTCTGAGTTCTGGGATTATACATGTGCACTACCACACCAGGTTTATGAAGTGCTAGGGGTTGAACCCAGGGCTGCTTGTATGCTGGGTAAATACCAACTGAGCTACATTTCCAGCCATTTTCAGTTTTCTAAGAAGCATATTTTTAAAAATGAAATTAGGGGGACTGGAGAGATGGCTCAGCAGTTAAGAGCACTAACTGCCCTTGCAGAGGACCGGGGTTCAAATCCCAGCACCCACATGGTGGCTAACAACCGCCTGTAACTCCAGTTCCAGGGGTTCTGACACCCTCTTCTCTCCTCCACAGGCACTGCACTACACAGGTGCATCTACCTACATGCAGGCATAACACACATAAAATTAAAAAATAAATTTAAAAAATGAAATTAATTTTATATTCTATTAGATCTGCAATACTTTGATCTATTAGATCAAAGTGTCTCCATGTAGTCAATATACAGAAATCATCAGTGAGATACTTTGTTTCCTTTTCATACTAAGTCCCCAGAGTGCTGAGTATAGACACTAATTTTTCATACTTTATATGTTTAAAACAGTTGAAAAAAGTAAATTTAAGTTGTTTCAGACAAATATCTAAAATTTCCAGTAATTGAATTGAGTATCGTGTTTTAAGTTTAAGAATTTTTGTTTGTGTTTTTGAGGTGTTGGGATTCCAGCCCAGGGCCTGCACATGCTTGTCAGCTGCTCTACCACTGAGCTACAGCCCCAGCCCCAAGTTTGAAGTTTAAATTTTTACCTTTTACACACACACGCCCATGCACCACAGTATGTGTAGAGGTCAGAGGACTTTTTTCTCCTACTTCTATATGAGTTCCAAGGTTCAAGCTCAAGTCATCAGGCTTCCCAGATAAGTGCTTTTATCTGCAGAACCATCTCAACTCTAAATCAATGAATTGCCATATTAACCTATTCTATTGGGCAGTGTTGCTCCAAATGACTGTTTGCACCCTTATGATCTCTGTACACCTCCCATTAGTGACCAGAGGATCAGCAAGTCAGTTTCTCCCAGGTGTATGTTAAACATCTAATAGGTTGAAACCCAAGACACTATAGCTGTGTCTAATTTGGGAACAGCAAGTTTTGAAACTTACAGAAGAACATGCCCATGTCCTGTTTGTGCCTCTGGAGAGCAAAGCAAACCATTTGAGAAGAAGTTCCTTTGAGATACTTGTTTTCAATGTAGTCTTTCCTCCATGCCTTGTGTGTATTAGTATAGTTCATTTGAATTGGTCCAGTGAATCATTTTGTTAGCTTGCTGAATTCCCAAAGAACATTCGAATCCATATACATGAGATGACTGCTGTGTTTGGCTGTACATTTGCCAGATACTTGGGTGGGGGAGTCATTTATCCCCCTAGGCTGGTGTTCAGCTGGCCTGGTTGTGACATAGAGATGAGGCAGTAGAATTTAGAATCTGGAACAGGGGTGGGTACTGGTCTTCACAGTTAACATAGATAGCCACAGCATATGCCGCTTGTTTCCTTTTAAGCCAGTGAGTCAAGCTGAGTCAGTTATGTCAGACCATTCACACAGAATACATGACTAAGGTAAGTGATGATAATTGAAAATAATTTGTCGACCTGAAAACAACTAGAAGAGGAAGCTCCCACTGGTATCCCTTGGCACTGCTGGCTGTTTGTGAGGACAGTGTTGCTGCTATAGGCTGTGGGCATCTACCTTCATGTTTGAAGAGTGAGTGTGGGCGTGCACATGAGCTAGGATGAGGGCCTCAGGACAGCGGGGTTGATGATATTGTCTAGAAAAAGGAAAGTCAAAATGCCCATGTGAATTAGTGTTTTCATAAGAAGCTGTCCTCTGGCCTCATCTTGTTTTGCTGTGATTTCCTAGATCCAGGGCTGCACGTGTGTGTGTATGCACAGTCCAGGGATAGGAATGGTCAGGATGATGTTTCCTTTCCACTTTCAATTTAAATCAGTTTCTCTGCATTTCTAACTGCCACATTCTCTCTAGCTCTCAAAGCCCACACGCTTGGCAATGTGCCTTGGTTTCAAGCATTTTCCCTGAACATTGGTCACTGTCAACATTAAGCTTCCCTGAGCATGAACATGAAATTTACCCTCTTCCCCACCCGCTTCACCCCCTCCACCCTTCCAGTCTCTGTGAAAAGACTGGCTCTGCTGCCACAAGGTCCCCCAGGCCACAAGTGTCTGAGAGCTGTGCTGCTGTCGTTGCAGGAACAAGTCATTTCTTGTCTTCTGATCACAAATAATCTTTACTTCTAAATTTCCATATTATCTATCTCTGCTTTTTCAAATTTTCAATCTAGCTTTTCCATAAGTAGGTGGTCATGCAGTGTGAGGGTGCCATTTGGCTAGTGTGTCTTCATTTCAGACTGATGTGCTTAGTTATCTTTAGTTGCTGCCTAGTAGTTCATCAAAGTGCACAGTAACACAGGCACAGGTCACTATTCAAACTGGCTATTAGGAAGGAACCTGCTAGTTAATCTTTTAGATTGATTTGAGATTGTCTTACATGGCCACCTTCCCTCTGCCTTTGAAACTGTCCCACTTTCAGAAGCAAGATCTCTGAGTCACAAGGATAGGCTTTTATGTTGTTTTATGGGTCCTTTCAGGAGACCCATCTCATTGAATCCCCCATTGGCCAGGGATTTAGAAGCAATGGCACCCCAGGACAGTGGGCACCAGGGTTTTATGTTGAGCCTTGGCACAGTGTGAAGCAAAGCCAACTGGGCCTGGGCATGTGTGCTAAGATCCACTTCTCCACGTGGCCTGTTCTCTGCTAGACAGTCCTCAAGCATCTGTCCAGACACCATTTTCTGTTCCAAGTGGCTCAGAGGACAGTGTTGGGCTTTCCTGTCTATCTCTGTTGATGTCCCACACTGAGTGGGGTGTCCTCACCTGAAGCCATGCTTGCTCACAGTGGTGCAGACCTTTAAACCCAATATTCAGGAGGCAGAAGCAGGCAGAACTTTTGAGTTCCAAGCCAAATTGGTCTAAATAACAAGTTCCAGACCAGGGAGACCCTTTCTCAACAAAACAAAAAAAGTGATGGCATACTTATACATACTACAACATGGATGAATTTAAGATTACTTATCAGTGTTCTGCCTGCCTGTATGTAAGTGTACCATATGAGTACTTGGTGCCTAAAGAGGATGTTGGATCTGGAACTAGAGTTACAGACAGTTGTGAACTACTGGCAATTGAACCTGGGGTCCTCTGCAAGATCACCACTGAGCAGATGCATCTATCCAGCCCCAGTATGAATAAAATTTTTTAAAGTCTTATAACAAGCAAAAAAATGACAAAGGACCACATTTTATTTATTTTAGTATAATATTTTAAGTCTTTGAGAATTTCACATATACTACATAATATATTTTGATCATATCCACTCCCAACTCCCTCAGCTGCCCCCAGAATTTTCCCCAACATGTTCCCTTCCCAGCTTCATCTCTTCTTCCTCCTCTTCCTACGTCCTCCTCTTCCTCTTCTTTCTCCCCCTCCCCTCTCCCCTCTACCTCTTCTCCCTCTTCCTCACCCCTCTTCCCTCCCTTCTTCCTCCTCTTCCTCCTCCTCCATTTGTACCCCACTGTATTAGTTAGTTCTGTGTCTGTAATAAAATACCATGACCAAAAGTAACTTATAGAGGAAGAGTTTATTTTAGCTTGTGGTTCCAGAGGGAGAGTCCATAATGCTGGGGAAACATGGCAGCAGGAGCAGGAAGCTGGCTGAGCACATCTTATCCACACACACGGAGCAAAGCAAGAAGAGAGGCAAGGTTGTAAACCCTCAAAACCCACCTCAGTAACGTATTTCCTCCATCAAGGCTCCACTTCCTAAAGGTTCCAGAATCTCCCCAAACAGCTGCCACCAACTGAGGAACAAGTGTTCAAATACATGAGCCTGTGGGGGACATTCCTCATTCAAACCACCCTACTCATTAAGTCCAATCAGTGCTGAATGCACGTGCATGCAGGGATGTGTGGGTCCATCCCTGGAGCATGGGCAACCTGCCAGTAGCCATAACCTCAAAGAAACATGACTTCCCTTCCTCCAGCAGCCATCAAGTGCCAATAGCTCCTCAGCTAGTGGTGAGAGGACCACATATTTCATGATTCCGTTTATATGAAATGTCCAAAACAGGTAAATCTAGGGGATTAGGAGATGCTCAGTTGGTAAAGTGCACTAGCATGAGGACTTGAGTTTGATCCCCAACACCCAAATGTCTTGGGTGTGGTATTACACGCTTGTAATTCCAGTGCTGGGGGAGGAGGACACAGACAGATTTTTGGGAATCACTGATCAGCCAGCCTAGTCTAGTTGGTGAGTCCCAGGTCTCACTGAGAGAGCCTGCCTCAAAAGAACAGGGCAATGACTCCTGAAGAACAATACCCAAGGTTGATCCCTGGCCTCCACATGCAAAAACATGAATCTGCACATAAGCACACACATAATTACAGCCAGATCTATACAGACAAGCTAGGATAAATTGTCAGGGTCGGGGAAATGGGTGTTGTTGCTAATGAACTTCTTTTTAAAAAAATATTTTATGTGTATGAGTGTATTACCTGCATGTAGGTAAGTTCACCTATGTTGTGCAATGCCCACGGACAGAAGAGGCTGTCGGGTCCCCTGGAACTAGAATTACAGACAGTTGTAAGCTGCCATGTGGATGCTGGGATTCAAACCCAGGTCTTCTGCAAGAACAGTCAGTGTTCTTAACTGCTGAGCCATCTCTCCAGCCCCGCTAATGAACTTTTGCTAATTGAACTTCATGTTAAAATGTTCTAAAAACTCGATGATGATATTGGCAGCATCTGTGTGAATATACCACATGCTAGCATATGGATTTAGGAGTGAAGTGATGGTGTATGAATTATAGTTCAGTAAACTGTTTGAAGGATTGAATCAGCATTTATCTATTTGTAAATCTTCAAAATTAACTTCCAAAGAAAGGAACTAGGGCCTGGAGAGATGGCTCAGCAGTTAAGAGCACCAGCTGCTCTTGCAGAGGACCTGGTTTGGTTCCTAGTACCCACATGGTGGCTAATAACTTCAGTTCCAGGGGTTCTGGAATTCTGCAGCCATTGCATGATGTAAATGTACTTATATACATGCTTATATACATGCAGGAAAAACATAAACAAATTTTTTAAAGAGCTAGTTAGGAGAATGAAGGAGAAATTCCCCAAACAGTTAACATTTTCAAAGGTTTTCAAGGATTCTTTTAGTTATCCTCTTCATTTGAGTCCTGACTGAGGAAGAAAACAGTGAGAGAACAAGGAGGAGGAGGGGGGAGGGGAGGGAGAGGAGGAGGGGGAGGAGGAGGAGGGGGGAGGGGAGGGAGAGGAGGAGGGGGAGGAGGAGGAGGGGGAGGAGGAGGTGGCATAGGCATAGGCATAGGCATAGGCATAGGCATCATCACCATCATCATCTACCCTGCATGGTCAGGGTCAGATCCCTCTGGCTTGCTGCCCTGATGTTGGAGATTCTGAGTGATGTCTTTGTTCTGTGGCCTGACCATTTCCAAAATGCATCTATTTTTCTGAGCCTGTAAAGCTGAGGAATGACAAGACCAGGGTTGACAGATATACACAGGAAGCCACTTTGTCTGCACATCTGCAGAATATTAGAAGCTTTTCCCATTGGGCCTCTTTTTTTATTTGGGGATTTTGTTTCTGGTAGATGGGCAGAGACAGTTTGAAGGAAAAAGTGCAATGGCTTCTGGGGTCAGGCGACTCCCAACCCAGAGTTTTGGTTCCCCATCAGCGAAATGGGAAAGTTAACAACCTTCTCACCACAGGCTGTACATACCTGGTGGCCATGAACTTGCTCTGCAAGCACTGTGGCTGTATGAACTTGGGGTGGCCCTGAGAGCAGGACTTGAAAAGGGAAAGAAGACTGCCTATGTGGTCAGGCTGGAAGGTGGAAAAAGAGATGTCTAGAGAGTATGGTCATTGCATGCAGTTAGAAGGTACAGTCAGTAGCTTGCCCTCTGTTCTTGTGGCCAACATCATGGCAAGTGAGCTAGATGGGCTGCTAGATAGATGATAGAGATGAGCCAGCATTGCATGGAGCCCCCTAGAAGGGCCATCAGTGGAGGGATAGACTGCTCTGAGCTTCCCTCAAATGGACATTCCTTCCTGTTATAGATCTGATGTCCTCCTGCAGAGGCTCACATCCTCATGAAGCCCCTCAGGAATGAAAAGCTAGCCATTGTTCTTGTATAGCACAAGATCCAGAAGTGGGTCTATGTTTTCATAAATGTGTTATCTGCTAAGCCCAAGGCCCCAAATGCCTACTTGAGCACTTAGAGCCCTGGAGCAGCTCTGTTAAAAGAGAAAATACTTCCCACAGTTAGGGTATGCATTTGTCATACTATACTATCTCTGAAATTGTGGTATGTCTTACAGTTAATAGCATCTTTCTAACACTCTACCTTTCAATCGATGATGTCCTGGACTTGATAAAATGTGGCTAGGGTTATCAGACATCGGACCACGGGGATGCATTGTTCTCATGCTTTGGTGCCTGGTCTGGGATGTGCACATTGAGTAATTGCTTGCCTACCCCAGGTCCAGGAGCTCCCATGTCCCTTGTCTCTGGAGAGCCAATAGAGCATCCTTCTGTTTTTGCAGGCTTTTATCAGTAGATCAGGGGCAGATCTTCCACCCTCAGATCGCTACTTCAGAAGGTGTGGTGAGACTTTCCTCCCCTGGCTCTTTTGTCCATCCAGCCCCCAAGGTTCCTGCTTTTGTTTCTGTTTTTATGACTGTCCTGGAGCTTTCCTGTTCCCATCCTCATCAGCAGCTCCTTCCCAGTGTGATTTGCTAGTGTTGGTGTTCATGGGAAGATGAGGGAAGAGAGCATTACATCGCTCTAGCATGGGAGAGTGACCAGCGACCTCATTCTCCTGAGACAGGAATCAGTGGTGCAGTCACCTGTGAGGGCTACCTCTGCACATCCACTCCACTTTTTTCTAAGCCTTTTCTGTAGGTTAGAGCTTCTGACCCAGTCACCTCTCAGAGTGCTGCATCTTTACAGCTGAAAGTCTTTCTCTTCTGAGATGGACAGCGTCACCTACCAGTGACATGAACCAGGCGACATGAACCAGGTCAAGAGTAACCGAGAACTGTACATGCAATACTCAGCCTCAGCCCCCAAGCTGCTGGCCCACATCTCCAAACTCCTTATAGTCTGCCGCAACACAGGCATTGCCATCCCAAAAGGCATCAGGAACATCTTTGAGCTCACCTGGGAGGAGCTTATCAGGGACCCCGCAGTGCCCACTCCATCCAACATCCAGGACCTGGTGATCAACTTTGGAGCTCCCCCAGTGGTGCTTGCTGAGGTGATCCCTGTGCAGCCCCCTCTCCAGAAGAAGCCACCCCCACCGCCTTCAGCACTGCTCACGGCCACTAGTGTGGGCAAGCAGTGTGCCTCCTCCCCTGTCTCTGCTCGCCCAGTGCCCAGTGGCCAGGATACCCTTCACAAGTTCCAGCGGCAGTCCATCCACCTTCTGACAGAGCTTCTCTCCCTGAAGATGAAGGCCATGGTGGAATCTGCCTCTGGTAAGGCTGCTTATAGATTGCCTTTCATTCTTGCACAGGTAGGAGTGCACACTGTGTGTGTGTGTGTGTGTGTGTGTGTGTGTGTGTGTGTACACCACTGTGCCACATCCACCCTGACAGGTGTGAATTGAGCATCCATGATCCAGAATCTAAAATACTCTGAAGGATGTTGAGCACTCATGTGATGCCACAGTGGGACATTCTATAGTTGATGGTGCATGATGAGTTGCAGGCACACTAGAAATACTGTATAAGACAACCTGCAACCCAAGTATAGGGTGTACACGAAACATCAGAGAAGTCCGTGTCTCCATCTAAATTCTATCCCCATATATCTCATTTTATACACGAAAATAAATATTCTCAAATTCCCAAAATTCCTAAATCCTAGAATCCTAGACTCCTCTGGTCCCAAAGCCTTTGATAAGGAATATTTAAAAAGGGATATAAAAAGGGGCTGGAAATCAGGGGTGGCTACAGGTCTTCACCCCCACTGTTCTCCCATCCTCCTTCCCAGTCACCCAGAGCTATAGAGCACATTCAAAGGTCAGCAGTAGTAGCAAGAAGATGCCATAGAGACACTGAAGGGAGGGGTTGGGGCAATGGAGCAGAGGTGGACAGAGCTGTACTGAAGAGCAACAACATGAAGTTTGTAACTCAAGAGCGTGGTCCAGCCAGTAGCAGGGGAGTTAGGAGAGCCTGGTGCCTCCAAGATGAGGGCATCATTCTAGGACTGGGAAAGAGCCTAAAGCAGTGTCAGTCACAGCCTTCTGGCAACTGCCTTGTTTCCAATTCCAGCAGCCTCAGTGCTCAACCTGTGGGTGGGGAGGCAGGCAGGTGAGGGGCCTAGGAGCAAAATTGCTTGTGGATCTCAAGCTCTCTGCCCACTTGAGTGTATATATAAGGAGCCCCTCACCCTTACATCAGGAATAGAGCTTTTACCTCTTCCCTGGGCCATTTGCAAAGGTCTTTTTTCTAGAAGTGGCATCCATTCCAGGAAGAAAATGCTATGCATTTTCTCATTCCATCAGCAGGTGCCAATCCCCTGGACATCACCAGGCGCTTCGTGGAGGCCAGCCAGCTTCTCCATCTCAATGCCAAGGAGATGGCCTTTGACTGCCTGATTGGTACTGTTGAGAGAAGCTGCCTTAATACAGCACAGCTGGGGAAAGGTGGGTACCTGCCAGTAGATGAAAAGTACAAGCTGGGTATGGTGGTGCACTCTTTTAATCCCAGCACTCAGGAGGCAGAGGTAGGCAGATCTCTGTGAGATTGAGGCCAGCCTGGTCTACATAGCAAGTTCTAGCCTGGCTGGGCCTACAAGACACCCTTGTTTCAAAGAGCAAAAACAAAGGAAAAAAGTACACACAGGCCAATGTGCCTAAGGGTTGAGGGATGTGGAGCAGCAGGAGCCACAGACACCATGCCACTGGCAAGGGGCAGTTAGTGTATCTTCTGTGGAGGGCAGCCTGGGTATCTTGGTGATGTCTGCACCTCACAACCCATAATTCAGCAGCAGCTCTTGTAGGTCATTCCTAGACTATGCTTCTTAATAGTCTGCAGTCAAGTGTTTAAAGCTACCAATCTGTTGTGGATCACCCTTTTATACACATGGTAAAGATGTCAAAGCAGTGAAGTTGCTACAGTCTCTGTCTTAGTGCTGATTCTCTGAGTCTGAACTCACCTGCTCATGGCCTTGTAGGGATTGGTGCCCATCACCAGTCCGCAACTTACAGCCTCCACATGCACATGCAACTCTACAGGAGTACTTACTATAGAATGGCTTGGAGTGGCAGAAAGATTAGAAACAGCCAAATGTCATCAATGGAGAAAAATTAATTATGGTCCATTTAGATACTGGTACATAGTGAGCACCAAAAATGAGCGAAGTGAGCTGGGCACGTGGTTCATGTTTGTCATTCCAGCACTCAGCAGATCAAAGGAGGAGGATCAGGACCAAGTTCCCTCTCAGCCACATAGTAAGTTCTAGGCTAGCCTGGGCTATATATGAGACCCTGACCCTCCAAAAGAGTCTAACACTAAAGCAGTATAGATAAGTCTCAATAGCATCAGGCCAAAGAAAAAGGTATGGAAGGGTACGTTTGGCATGACATTTTTAAAATAAAGTTTAAAGTCATGCAAAGGGATAAATTGTTAAGAGTATATCATACAAAATGCAGGTATTCAGAACATGAGAAAATTTGAGGAAGTAATCTTTAGTGCAGGGTAGAGGAGCAGGATCTACAGCACACAGTTCCCTCAGTTCAGTATTTGATTTCTGTAATATTTCTTTTTTCACTTACTTGCCTGTGTGTATGATGAGAACATTTATGATACTCCTGCCTTCTTAGCAAATGTCAAGTTCACTACACAGTAATAATGACAGGATCCTTATGTTGCACATGGATCCCAGGACCAGCATCCCCCTGTACACTACCTAGCCCAGAGCTCCTATGTTCTCTGCTCCTATGAGTTTGACTGTTTTAAATTCCACATATGATAGAGACCATGCAGAATTCATCTTTGGTGCCTGGCTTATTTCATGTCACATAATGTCCTCTAAACTAATCTCTTGTTGTAAGGGACAAGATTTCCTTCTTTTGAAGACTAAATAATTTTCTTGATCTGTTCATTCACTAATGGAAACTCAGGTTGATTCTACATTGGCTGATGTGAATTATACTGCAGTGTCAAAGCCATCCCTTTAAGACACTGACTTCATTTCCTTTGGAAATATACCCAGAAGTAGGGTTGCTGAATCATATAGTAGTTCTATTATTTTTTCAGCCAGTTTTGTTTTGTTGTAAACTGCAGCAACCTAACTAATTAGCATGATGTAAATTTCCATGCTTCCTCCTCAAATATACCTTTTAAAAAATGTGTTGACTTTTTTTGTGTGTGTATATCACACAGAACATCCCAAACCATCTTATTTGACTATACACCTAATTCCCAGATGGCACCCTCCCATAGCCTCCCTCCCCCAACTAGAGCCCTTATACTCTGATAGCCCTGCTACTGTCTGCTGTGTTGTCGGCACCCCCAGCCATTCCCCACTACTTGCTCTTCTGGTGAATCTAGTCAGCCTATCTAGAGGTCTTTGTTTTAGGAGGGTCAGCTGTTCCTCATCTAGCAGCAATCAATTGTCAATATTCCTTTAGATAAGATTGGGGTCTGCTGTTCATTTTCCCAGTTCTATGCTGGGTTACTATCTGAGAGTCCCTTTGGTTACCCTGGCCAACAACTCAAAAGAAGGCATCTCCTATCAGGCATTGTTGCTTGTTATGTGGCCTTTAGCTATACATATGGACTCTTAAGAAATTATATTGGCCCCTTTAATCTTTAGTTATACTTTCCTTTTGGGTGTTTAAGACCATACACTTGGCCCAGATATTGTGAATATGTGCTTGGGGGGGGGGATGCATATGTACATATGTGTGGGAGTATATGTATGCCCACATGCAGAACAGATGGACACTGGGTCTCTCTCTCTCTCTCTCTCTCTCTCTCTCTCTCTCTACAAGGCGTTTCTTGTGGCTCCAGTGGTTGGGCCGTTGCCTCAGGCCTGCTGTGTGGCTGTCATTAGGACTTTCACCCTAGGCTCAAGCCTGTCTCCCACATCCTGTAACTAGTCAACCTAGGAGGGCAAGGAGAAAAAACTGTCCTTTATGTCCCTCTGACCAAATTAGTATAGGCCTCAAAGTATGTCTGTTAAACATCCAAGAAGGTTAGTTCCACCAGTCTGGTACTTTTAATTACTGTGTGCCATGTATATAAATCTTGGGTAAAGACCAATTGTTCTCAGATAAACCTTACCTAGACATATATTTCTTGGTCTGCTATATATAATTTGTCAGTAGGTTGTAGGAGTAATATGGTTCCCTCTGTTTTTCAAAACTAGCTAGGCATTATTTATCTCTCACATAGTCTCACACCTCCATCATGGTTTTCCCACTTAAGGTGCCCCCATTTCCCCCCCTCTCTCCCTTAATAATACCCTTCTCCTACGGTCCTGCCTCTCTTGAGCTCCTTAGTAGTTCTATTTTTAATTTTTGTTTCATTTTGTTTTTGATACAGGGTCTTGCTATGCAGCCCAGGATAGCCTTGACCTTATAATTTTCCTGCCTTAGCTTCTCAAGTGCTAGAATTACAGGCATGTGACACTCTGCCCAGCTCTTTTCAGTTTTTCAAGAACTCTCCATTCTGTTTTCCATTATGGCTGTATTCATGTATAGTGCTACCACCATTGTTACCAAGACTCTCTTTTTCCCATGCCCGCATTCGCATTTGCTTTGTCTGTATTTTCCTAACAGCCAAAAATGATATCGCATTATGGTGTTGATTTGTGCTATTCTGATGATTGATGAGTTTGAAGACTTTTTTCATATGCTGCTGGCCATTTGTATGTCTTTTGACAAATACCCATTCAGACCCTTGTTCCATTCTTTTAGTCGGTTTTCCCCTGTAATGTTTTATATCTTTAGCTTGGCCTAGGCTCACAAGTGTTCACTTTAATGCTTAGCAGTACTCAGTGAAGCACTCAATTGATATCTCATATCCATGCTCTGTCACCTGTGCCCTAGGTGCCCGTTAGCACCTCTCTCTACCCACAGAGTCAATATCTGTGAAGCTTCCTGGATGGTTGAAGGTTAAATATCTAAGAATGATATATGCATTCAGAGCAAATCAATTGAATAGTAAAACTACAGATCTTGGAAAAACTAGGATTTCATGGAAGTCAATGAATGTGACGTGGAAGACTCAGATTCCCATGAAAACCACCGGTGCATGCCATTGCAGGATGAAGCTAGTAAGCACCAAAGAGGAAAAGCCATCAGATCACGCAGCAGGGAAAGGATACCTGAGGTCCACAGACTTAAGAATAAACAAGAAATCCCTGAAATACTTTTGCAAAAGACAAACACAGAGGGGGCCATATTTGATTATTTTAAATGATTATTCAGAAAGAAAAAAATCAACCAAAAATCCCAGCACATTATTCTAACTTTTGTAAGATTAGTATAGCATAGCTTAGCATAGCATAGCATTAGTACTAAGATTTGTTAAACACAAGATAAAAGAAGTTCATTTTGATACATTTTTCTCCCTAAGATTAAGTTCCAATTATTTCTGCCTCTTTGCTTAATAGGAAATGGAGGTCTCCACCATAGGGGATTTACTTGCTGTCTGCTCTGAACTGGATCAGTCAGGCTATGATCCCTTCAATTTGCTGTAAATGTTTAGGTGGGGAGTGGTTGATATATAGAGAGTTCTGTATCCTATGTTCTATTTCAGGGCTTAAAGACCACTTCCTGTGAAGTCCGGGTCTGTTGTTGCATAAGTGTGAGAGTCTGTCAGACAGGAGACCCCATGGGAGCCCCAGCCCAGCTCTTAACACTTTCCTACCTGAATAAGGTCAGCACTCTGTATCCACAGATTCCACATCTGCAAATTGAACATGTCAGCAGTAAGGGAACAGAGACAGCTTCAACTGTGACCTCAGTAGTCTGAGAAGTTCCCCTAGACTTTTAGAGACCTCAACGCAGGTTGAACTGGGATTCATGACTTCAGTGTTGAAAAGAATTTCAGGACTAGCTGCTTTATGAGGAAGCAGAGTTGAAGATCAAAATATTTTTATAATGGGCTTAAGCATGAGGGTTTAGAGGAAGAGGAGCACTCAGAAGTAAGGCATACTCAAGTGGGGGTGGGGTATGTGCATCTCGAGGGAGAGTAAAGGAAAATAAGATGGACTCAAGTGTGGGTACAGGCTCCTCAAGGGATCATTAGCAACTAATTGTCTGAGCTTAGCCTATATATCATTTTGGTGCCTCTCAAGTTGCATCTTAAAAGGTTGCTAAGAAACTTTTTTATCTCTCTTTTGATAAGAAATAAGTGATGTGGTTCTGGTTATGCTTTGGATGGAGTTATAATCTGATAAAATGAAACCAGAAATCATTGGGACTACACAAGGGATTTTGGTACATGCCCTTGTCTCATGAATGGAGTTTCTGGTGAGAGTCCTAGAAGATGCACCTTCACAGCTGGGAAGGGAAAAAGGCCTTACGCAGTGTCTAGCTGCTAGAGTTCTGGCTTTACTGCTGGTGAACCACCTCAAGTGTATTCCAGAGTAATGGGCTCCCCTTCTCATGTCCCTTCAATTTCCCCTGCCTCAAACTAACCGCAGATTAAAAATGTTTTTAAAAGACTCCCTCTGGGGACTGGAGAGATGGCTCAGCAGTTAAGAACACTGGTTGTTCTTGCAGAAGACCCAGGTTTGAATCCCAGCACCCACATAGCAGCTAACAACTGTCCATAACTCCAGTTCCAGGGGATCCGACAGCCTCTTCTGACCTCCGTGGGCATTGCATGACACGGGTGCACTTACCTACATGCAGGCAATACACACATACACATAAAATAAAAATAATAAATAAAATAAAAAGTTTTTTAAAAAGACTGCCTCTGTATTGAATGTGTACAGACATTTCCCACATCATAATTCTTTAAATAACACAGAATGACAATCCATAATATTTATATTGTGTTATTATAAATCATCTAGAGATGATTTGAAGTATACAGGATGGGGAGATAGTTCAGTCTGAAAAGTGCTTGCCATGCAAACATGAGGATCTGAGTTCAGATGTCCTAGAACTCAGCATATAAAACCTGCCATCCCAGTGCTGGGGAGACAGAGTCAGTAGGAACCCTGGAGCTTCCTGGTCAAATTGGTCATCTCCAGGCTCAACGAGAGATTGTCTCAAAAAAATAAGATGGAGGGGCTAGAGAGATGGTTCAGTGGTTAGGAGTGCTTACTGTTCTTGCAGATGACCCAAGTTCAGTTCCTAACTCCCACATCCACTGACTCACAAACACTTGTAACTCCAGTTCCAAGGGACCAGATGCCTCTGGCCTCCACAGGCACCTACACTTTTGTGCACATCCTCTGACCTCCATATGGATAATATGGCATGCACATGGTCATGTTCAGAGAGAGAGAGAGAGAGAGAGAGAGAGAGAGAGAGAGAGAATTTTTTAATATTTTTATTTTATTTGTGTGAGTGTATTGCCTATATGTATGCCACAGATGTCGTCAGAAGAGAGTGGCAGATCCTCTGAAACTGGAGTTATGGATGGTTGTTAGCCACCATGTGGGTCCTGGGAACCAAACTCGGGTACTCTATAAGAGGAGTCAGTGCTCCTAACCACTGAGCAATTGCTTCAATCCCAACACACACACAATTTAAACTAATAAAAATAATCCTTTAAAAATAAGGTAGAAGGAGATGCCTGATGTCAACCTGTGGCCTCCAGATGCATGTACACATATGACCATTTGTGCAGACACTTGAACATGTACACTATACCACACATGCACATATACATACACACAGTATACAGGAAAATTTGTACAGGTTCAATACAAATACAATGCTATTTTATGTAAAGAATTTGAATATCTGAGGATCTTGGTATCCAAGAGGTCCTGAAACTGATGCCCTGTGGGTACTGGAGTATGATACTGAGGGATGACACTGGGGGATGATACTAGAGGATGATGGTTTCTTAGCTTTAAAAGAAAACCAATCCTCATCGTTAGTATTCTATCTCATAAAGCACTTTAAGCATTTTCAGGATGACAGGCCTTTACTTCCAAAGCACAAACCCCCTACATCCCTCAGAGCTTATGAAAGGGAGTGAAATGAATTCAACTGGACTCTGTGACCAGGACGTCAGTGGAGGGCTGAGAAATCCCCTCTCAAAGAGCTCACCTGGAAATCTCTCACTGGCTGGCATTCTTGATACAGATGCCATTCTCCTTAAAAAGGCTGTGAGTTTGGAAGAAAAAATCAAAGTAGCCATATACAACGGGAGGAGTGAGCCATTCCTTTCTTTTGGGAAAGCATTTATTTGTCCCAGGATTTTAGTTACCTTGCTCTCTCAATGCATTGAAAAGTTCAAACTATGATGATTTATTGCAGGATTTGTGTTTTTCTGGTCTTCATTCTAGTACACAGTCAACCAAAGCTGTAAGTGGACTGGAATATCCGCTTACCTCTGTCCAGAGCATACCCTCTGCTAAAGTGGCATTTCTATGGTAGCAAGACTGCTTCCTGTCTTGCCTCCTGTCCTGACACCTACCTTCCTGACTTGTCAGAGACAAGCATAGGGCTGTCCCTTTGTTTTCAGTTGATAGCAACATTGCTGAGTAAAACACCCAAAAAGGAAAAGAAAGTAAACACTTGTCATTCTTAACGTAAGAGCTATTTGGTTCGTGCACATATGTTTATATATAGTTTCATAGTATTGTGATTTTTTTTTCCGTTGCTCCTTTTCTTTTACGTAATAGCCTGTAAAAGTTTCCCAGTGTGGCTATTTGGTTTTCAATACTTGTTGTCTGAGTGGGACTAGTCTCCTTTCAGCACTCATATTCCATAGTTAAGTGCTTAGTTTTCCTGCTTTTTGTTTCTAGCACAGAATGCAACCCTGTGTACATCACTTACTTTTGTCACATTGATTAAGATTAATCCCAGGGGAGGGATTATTGGGACAGAGGGTCACGATCTGTGCCTAACTTTCGACATGGTTTTTCTCTACACAGCAGGGTTGATGGGTTTTATTCCATCTTGGCCAGTATTGGTTCTTATGGTTCTTTGTTCCTAATTTATACTAAAGTAAAAGGTACTGACAGCAGTTTTAATATTACCACTTGGGTCATTAGCAAGGGTGATTGTTTTCATGTTTCAGTCATTCAGGGTGGAGTCTGTTTACAGTATTTGTACTTGGTGAGGTTGAGTTTGCCATTTTCTTTATGGATTTGAATGTCTTCTGATGAGTGAAGTGCTTTGCATTTCCTAACACTGGTTTCATGCCAGACCAGTGATGTGATGGGAGGACAGATTTGTGCCCTTCCCTTTGGCTATCAAACTATTGATGACGGACCCCAAGGAATTGGAATTTCCACAGGAGTCTCATTCTTAGGAAGGAAAAGACTGGAACCCTTTCACTAGTCCAAGGGGAAGCTTGTCTCCAAGAAAGAGATTCCACACTGTGCTGACAACTTGCAGGACAGCCAAGAAGCTAGGAGCTCAATGAGGACCTGGGAGATGGACTTTCAAGGTGTGTGTGTATGTGTGTGTGTGTGTGTGTGTGTGTGTGTGTGTGTGTGTGTGTGTGTGGAGAGAGAGGGGGGGGAGAGGGAGAGAGAGAGAGAGAGGGAGAGAGAGACTGAACCTCTGTTTCTCTTTCCAATGTAACTGAGGGTGCTACACTAGAATTCCTAAGTGGCCACCTACCAGGTGATTGTACACAAGATGGTGTGATTCCACAGGACTGATAGGCTGTTGCAGAAGCATCTGATTCCTGCACCTTAGATAAGGGGGAGCCGACTCTGACACTCATCTCAGCTCCTTCCTCCTGTTGCCCAAGTTTACCCCCACTTAGAGCAGTAGTGACACTTGCATTTGCCCTTACAGTGTCACCTTTGTGCTAACTGCTGTTCTTCAGGTGTGCCACCTCGCTCTTGAGAGGTTGGGGCAGGGGAGATGCTGTAGATGACAGCCTTAAGGATGTCCTTTAATTACTCTGAACATGGCTATGCGTTTAAGTCTTTCTTCTAGGAGACTACCTGGTTGGTTGTGACAACACTTTAGAATATTTGGCTCACCATCCTGTTCAAACAAGATGTCTGTATTTTGGTTTTAAAACAACTAAAATTAAAAAGACAAATATTTACTCCTTCTTCCTCTCTAGAATCCCCCATGAACATCTCTGCCATGGGAGTGAACTCTCCTTACCAGCTTGTCTACCAGACATCCACGGCCTGTCTGAGCTTTTCCCTCTCGACAGGAAAGGAAGTCAAGAAGAAAGGTGAGAAAGGAAGAAGCATTCTGGGACACATCTCATGAGTGCGTGTGTGTGTGTGTGTGTGTGTGCAACATCTCCCCACCCTGTGGTGGTGGTGGTGATGAGTTAGAAGGAAAGATGACTGGATCTGCATCCAGCCTGTGCAATTAACGATGTGGTTAGGTCTGGTGTCTGATAGGACGGGTCACCTGGAGACCCACAGGCTGTGACACACATTCACAGGCACACTAGAGCTGCGGCACATCCAGCTGCTGTACTTGGAAGTGCATACACTCCACTTCCATGCAGTTCCCTCACCCAACCCACCCTTCCACCGGCAATATCATGATCTTATTCCTGCTGAGACAGCTCTGTTCAGACACTGAAAGTGGGGAAATAGAATCCGAACTGTGTCGTATTTGGATCCCAAACCTAGCAGGCTCCAGTTCTGTATCCCAGACAGGGCTACTGTGTGTGGGCATGAAGCAAAGCCATAGAAGTCACCCCTGTCCTGTTGAGGAAGGCCCACACAGAAGGGAGAGGGCTTAAGAGAAAACAGGTGGCAGGTGAGAGCAAGCAGGATAGCAGCAGTGTGACATGCTCCAGGGAGGGGGTGAGGTGGGGAGGGGGCTGCTGACAGCAGGCAAGGCCTCAGGACCTTCCCACCCACCTGCCATCTGTGATGACAGTATGGGCAAGACTCAGAGCCAGGGGAGGACTGCATAGTGAAGAAGGGCAGGTGGAGGACTACATAGTGAGGAGGGCTGGGGTTGAGGGGGTTGCTCACACTGCTTCTTTGATTCTCACAGATACTGGAGGTAAGGCTGGAAGTTGAGAAGCTTGGAGCCAGTTCTCGACCTGCCCTGGCTGTCCACGTGACTTGCCTTCCTCATGCTTCCCTCTCCTTGGTAAAAGGGGGCTGGTTATTGGGGACTGTGGAGGCATCCACATTAAACCCCGCTTTGTTATCATTGCTGTTCTTTCTGTCTGGCTCCCTGGCTGAGCTCACTGTGCTCTCAGTCCCTGATGTACCCTTAATGATTGACTGGCAGAGCTAGCAACCAATGATTCCTAAGTGCTCTGCAGCCCTCCTCCAGGTGAACAAGATGCTTAAGAAAGCTGCCCTCCGAAACCCAGCTATCTCTACCTCCTCACCTCCAGCTCCAGGCAAGGGAAAGCCTGCAGATGACATCATGTCCCTGCTCCCTCAAGTGCGAACCCCTCCTGAGAACAGCATCCTTGAGTTCCAAGACCCCTGTCCTGAGGCCCGGGAGAAGCTGCAGGATATGTGTCGCCACATGTGAGTGCCTGGATGGGGAGAGGGTTTCACCAGACAGGAGGCAGACGGACAGGTGTTCTCAGAAACATTGCTACAGTCACAGCAGTAGGTGAGCTGTACTAGGCTGTGTATGCTCCCAGGCACTCCCCACATCAGCCTGGCTGTGCACTCACACACACACACACACACACACACACACACACACGCACATATATAGTGAGCAAGCAAGCAACGCGCACGCACGCACACACACACACACACACACACACACACACGCACACATGCATAAAGACCCTGGCCCTTCCCACTTTTCAGATAAGAAGTAGTAATTTCTTGGCATAGTTTGCTAGATGTTCTACTAAAAGGAAAAAATAAATCTGCCAAAGAAAATATTTCAGCCGCATGAGTGGTTCATAGTATAATGATTTGGGGATTCCATGAAACCTAGCAAGAAGTTCATTTCTCCAAGGGCCCAGCTCATAAAGAGTAAAAATTTATTCACATGTAAGTCATACCTGTTTTGAAGTGGGGGGCAGTTACTGGGCCAGGGCATGGGCAGGCAGCAACTACCCAGTTTACCTCTGTACTACAACATTCTAGAAGGAACCTGTCTTCCCCTGAACCTTCTGGGAATGGGTTGTCTCCAGCTGCTCCAGAGCCCCTCTCATGCATAGTTCCATTCCATAGGTTCTCATCCCATGTGCCAAGCAATCAGCATGGGCACTGAGACCTTCTCACTTCCTCCCCCAAATACTACTTTTGAGAATGAAGAAGGGTGAGATGGGGATATACACATTAGGGACAAGGGGTTAGGGTTAGGGTTAGGGTTAGGGTTAGGGTCTGGGGTGCTGGGGAAGGTCTGGAGAGAACCTCTCTGGAGAGTGAAAGCCAGGCACCTAGAAGATACATTCATCTTGTTCCCCACAGAGAAGCTGAAAGATTCTTGTGGAGAGAAAGGAACATCTGCCCCATGATCTTACGCAACTACAAGGCAAAGATACCCTCCCATTCACTGTTGACCTCCAAAGGGGATTCTCACCACCCTCACACTGTGGGAACTCAGATTTCTGCTTCCACTCTTCACCAGCTTTCCAGTCACCATACTCACACGAGACACCATTCTCAAGAGTGGAAGGCACCCAAGAAGCCCATCAAACTGCATTACACTTTCTATGATGGCTCCTCCTTCGTTTAATATCCTTTTGATGGATGCTGCTCTTTCTCCCCAACTCAGCCCCAGAGAACTTCAGGGCTTGAAACAGGTAAGTATCCACTTGGCATTCTTGGTCCTCCAGAGAAGCCTGGTGAGGATCCTCTAGGGTGGGAAGTGTTTGTCTAGGTCAAGCTTGGGAGGGTCTAGGGAAGACCTTCTAGTTTTAAGAACAATTTCAGTATAGTTCAGATCAGCAGGAATGTATCAAGTCTCTGATACGTGTGAGAAACTTGTCTGTGCAGATGAATCCCCACCTACAAGGCTCAGTCAGGAAAGAAGAAGCTATAGACAGCATGGGTTCATGTCCAGCTGAGAGGAGAAGGGAGGTGGCCCTAAATGCTTGGCTTTTATTTCCCTGACCATGATCCAATGTTCAAACTTTGTAGTCCTTGCACTTTTCCTCCAAGGTTCAAATGCTTGGAATCTAAGCCCTCTTACCAATTGTTCCATGTCAGATTCACCTGCAGCTGAGGTCTGCCTTGGTTCATGGGTGTAGAGGTATCTGAGTCCCCGCCTTCAGTGTGCAACTGGCAGAAGACATTGTTTTCCTATGAATCTGATGGAAGTTATAGACCCTTTTCCCAGAAATGTGGACTTATAGTCACATGCATATCAAGTGTGATCTGAGCCTATAGAAGCCTGCCTGTGTGTTTAGATTTGAGAACTCTAGTTTAGGATAAGTCAGACTCTGAGAAGACAGATCCCTTCAGAGGGTGAGCTCCAGGGACTGTGCATACCTTGGAATGGATTGAGTCAATGGCTTTCTCTATTCACAGAGATGTACTTAGTAGCTATTGTGTGAAATCGATTAATATAGCAAACTGGATAGACCATTCATTAAAACCTCAGAGGGAGCAACTTTACTTTGATTGAGTTCTTCTAACATTTGAATTTGGGTTATGAAGGTAGAAAAGGGAGCTCCCTTTGGAGAACATCTGGGTGGGAAATCCCCTTGGAACTGTCCTTTTCACAAGCCCTGTCACTCATTCCCCAGCATCTTCTATACCAGATCCAGATGCCCTGCCAATGAGACAGCAAGGACTTTGAGGCCAGCGAGGGAAGAACACCTATTCTGGGTTATGAAGCTTGAGTTACACTAACTTCAAGTACAGGAGGCAGAGTCATTCAGTTCTGCTCCTTCTTTGTAGAAATAGGGAGAGACAGCCCCCAAAGAGGTGGGGTGACCTCCTCAGTGTCACAGAAGGGACTCAGTGGCATAGCCTCAAATGAAAAAGGCTTCTTGTGCCTCAGTTTAAGGCCCTCTCTCAGGGGTCATTTTTATACCTTTAAATATTATTTCCCATTGTGGAGAGCATGGGAGGGGAAATTGGGAGGGACCTGGGCACTCACGATCACCTACCTTTAGAGGAGAGAACAGGTGCATGAGCCATTTCAACTACTTTCCTGAGGCATGGCTTAGCTAGAAACAGCCTCCACACTTTGGCCTCCTCTTGACTGAGCTGGGAATTCAGAATTTAAGTGCTCTGTCAAAGAAGCCTCATTGTTTTCTCTGGCTATAAATGAATCCATTCATCACATGCTCCAAGCCCTGCCTTCACCCTTCCCATATGGAGCCTGGCAAACTCCTTTGAGGGCAGCTGCGGCTTTACACAGTTGGGAGGGCTCCCTTACCCCTTTTCTGATTTTTCACTTCATTTACTACAATTAACACCCTGTCCACAAATTATCTTTCTGTCGGGGACCTGAAAGAATTGGCTGGGATCTTTGCTCTCACCTGTTTTAGAATTATGAGGTGCCCTTGGGCGAGACCACTTCAGTCCTCTTGTCTGCTGCTATAGGAATGCTTAACTCCTATCCCAACAGTGGTAGCATCCTGGGAGTTAGTCCTTTTTCTCCTTGGGAGCCACAGAGTCCAGGGCTCTAGATTCAGTTTTTCCCTGTGTTCATTTCTTTTATTGTTGCTGTGACAAAATTCCTGACAAAAGCAACTTAAAGAGAGAAGGATTTATTTGGGCTCTCAGTTTGAAGGTGCAGTCCATTGTGGTGGGGAAGGATAGCATGTGGCAGCTGTATGAGGTAGCTGGACACATAAGTCACAGTCGGGGAGCAGAGATGGATGCTAGAGTTCTGCTTGCTTCCTCCTTTTTACCCAGTCTGGGGCCCCAGCCCTTAAGTCGGTGCTGCTCACATTCAGCATATTAAACTTCTCTGGAAGGAAATGCCCCCACAGATACCTCCAGAGACTTGTCTTTTAGGGGATTAGAAATCCCATCAAGTTGACATTCAACAGCCACCCCAGTGACCTTGTATACATTACTTGATCTATGTGCCTCACTTGGTTACAAGATGAGGAAAACAGACTCAGTGATCTTAAAGAAGTTCTGTATTGCAGTGTTCAAATGGCCAAGATGAGGAAGCAAGCTGTCTGATCCCTTCTGAGTGAAAAGGTGTTTGGAAAGCACTTCTTTATCTCCTGGCTTCTGTAGAACACCAGGTTTAGCCACTGACTGTTTTCAATGCCAGGTTGGTGGGCACAGCTCTCAGGTAAAAATGATCTTTCTTTGGAGTAGCCCCAAATTCTAAACTGTAACCGATTTGAACTGGCTGTGTCAGCCTCATGCCATGTCAGTGCTTGTCTTACGCACTCTTCCCTGGGTTTAGGGACTCTCCCGCTGTCTTTGGACTTGCTGCCCTATGATGAACACATGGTGCTGAGTAGCTTTTCCTTTGCTGCTTTTTGGCCAGTCTTCTTTAGAGAAATGTGTATTCAAGTCCTTTGCTCATTTCTTGATTGTCTTTTGGTGGAGTATTTGCTGGTACTTGAACCTATGGCCTCAAGTGTGCCAAAGTGCACACTCTATCACTGACTGAGCCATGCCCTGACCCCCAAAAGTTTTGATTTTGATGAAGTCCAAATTTTCTCATTTGTTTCTTATGCTTTCAGTTTCAAATTTAAGGCACATTGTCAAATTGGAGATCATGAAGATATCCAGCTGTCCCAGGGTTGTTTTCTGAAGAGACCATTCTTTCCTTGTTAAATGGTCCTGAAACTCTTGGCAAAAATAAATTGACTATAGATGGAAGGATCTATTTTCATATTGTTTTAATCCATTGATCTAATCCATATCTGTCCTCAGGCCAGACCATATTGTTTCAATTATTGAAGATTTGTGTCAAGTTTTTGTTTTATTTTGTTTGATTTGGTTTGGGTTTGGGTTTGGGTTTGGGTTTTATTTTTTGGCTTTTTGAGACACAGTCTCACTACATAGTCCCAGCTGGCCTGGAATCACTATGTAGACCATGCTGACCTCCATCTCACAGAGATCTGCCTGCTTCTGCCTCCTGAGTGCTGGGATTTAAGGCCTGCAGCACCATACCCAGCCTTGAGGATATTCTTAAGGGATATTGGTCTGTGGTCTTCTTATGTCTTTGTCTTGCTTAGTGTCAGGATAGCACTGGCCTCACAGAATGAGTTAGAAAGTTTGGTCTGCTCCTTTAATTTTCGACAAGAGTTTGAGGATAATTGGTGGTATTTTTTTAAATGTTTGATAAAATTTATCAGCAAAGGCATCTGAAGCCATGTACCTTTTTATTTGTTAGGAATGGTTTTATTGTTGTTCTTATTATTGTTTTCCTTATTAAAGAGGTGTGTGTGTGTGTGTGTGTGTGTGTGTGTGTGTTCTGTGCACGTCAGTGTGCATGTGTGAAGGGGCCAGAGGTCAACCTTGGATGTTATTCTTCAGGAGCTATCCACTTGTTTTGTTAGACAAGGTCTCTCATTGGCTTGGGGCTCACCCATTACACCAGCTCAAAGGTCTCTCCCCATCTGTCCATTGCTGGTATCAAGCAAGCGTACTGCCATGCCCCACTCTTTTACATAGGTTCTGGAAACCAAACTCAGGTTCTTACACTTGCATGGCAAGGACTTTACTAACTAAGCTATCTCCTCAGCCTTTTTACAAATGATTTAATTCTTTTACTTGCTGTACACAGCAAGGTCTATGTGTATATTTTATACCTACAGGTCTATTTGTATATTTTATACTTCTTTTTGTCACATTGGGTATCTGTGTGTTCCCAGGAATTTGTTTCATCTAGGTCATCTAATTTTTGGTGTCTGGTTATTCCTATTATTCTCTTAGGATCTTTTATTTCTGTAAGATAAGTACTATTGTACTGTCATTTCTTTCTTTCTTTCTTTCTTTCTTTCTTTCTTTCTTTCTTTCTTTCTTTCTTTCTTTCTTTCTTTCTTTCTCTTCTTTGAGGTAGAGTCTTACTGTAGCCCTAGCTGGCCTAGAACTTGCTATATAGACCAGGCTAGCATTGGCCTTGATCTCACAGAGCTCCTCCTGTCCCTGCTTTCCAAGTTGTACTGTCATTTCTAAGAACTAGAGTCTTTTTTTTCCCAGCTTTTGTTTCCTCTCATTCCCAGATTTCTGGGATACCCATTCTGCATATGTTGGTGTGCTTGATAACCTTCCAAGGGCCCTGATGTTCTTTTTTTTAAAAATTTTTTTGAGATGGAATCTCACACTGTATCTCAGGCTGACCTGAAACTAACTATGTATCCCAGGCTAGCCTAGAATTCACAGTCATTCTCCTGCTTCAGCCTCCCAAGTGCTGAAATTATACACGAGTCTTATGGTTCATGTATACACATAGTTTATTCTTTTTCTGTTTCCTTTATGCTATACTGTCTGGATAATTTCAGCTGCTCTATCGTCAAATATAATGATTTCATTTTTTTCTTTTATTGCTTTAACTTGCTACTGAGCCTGTTTAGTGAAGTTTTCACTTCAGTTATTGTATTATCCAGCTTCTATTATCAGATTTTCTGTTGGGCGACTTTTTATTTCTACTTGTTGATCCTTCCCGCTTCATTTCAATTTTTAAGCTGGTGGGAAAATTTAGGAGGGCAGACTCCAGTGCTAATCACTAAAGTTCTTCTGCCTGTAGTACTACCCCTGAGATTCCTGCACCTAGACTGCAGCTGCCAACTCTACGGTGGTCTATGTTCTTTGACACCTCTTAGCTAGGGTATGAACATAGAAGCATTGATTATGTCCTAGATTGGTCAATGGGGAGGCAACCTGACAGTACTAGAAATATTGCTGGTTCTTGAGATCAGATCCTGGCTCTGAAACTTACTTGTGGCATGAAATGGAGCAAGGCAGTCTCTACACCTTGGATTCCTCATCTTAGGGCATTCCCTCATCTTGGTTTTCCCGAGCCTCTCATGTTTTAGCTCTAAACTCCTATGTTCCCAATACCATTCAGACCCATGAAAACCCTACTGGTGTGTGAGATGGAAATAGTACCACCTATTACAAGGCAGTGTGAGAAACAGGAAGTAGATACAGGAAGGGCCTGGGGCATGTCTGAGTTCCACAATCATTTAATTGTTGCATGGGCAAAGCATAAGTGGGGCTTTTGAAGATGGGGAGCAATGTACCATGGAGCGAATATTTTCACATATACTTTGCTCTTTTGGGGAATCTGAGAGTGGCACCTGCAGTTTTCTGTTAGTTCGACTTGACCCATTTCTTCCAGCTATCCCTCTGGAAACATCGCCATGCTTCAGATTCCCACATGCTGCAGAGGGAGAAGCATCACCTGCCTGTTTAACGACATTCCTAACACCTTCCTGGCCTTGTTCAGTGCTGAAGGCCAGGGCTATGTTTACTACAACCTGAAGAACTGGTAAGTGGTCAGGGAAGTCTAGCCTCATGAACTATCCCTTGAGGTGATTGGGGGTGTGTATAAGACAGTAACTAAAAGTTCCTGGTTGAAGGTGGGGTCTAGGGAGGCAGTGAGGCGAGGTGAAGCAATGCCTGCAGGAACAAAGGTATTTGAGACCCGACCTGCTGCATCTGTGTGAAGAGAAGAGAAACACTCCCAAGTCCACCATTTGGTACATCAGAACACTAAGATCTTGATTCTTGGTCAGATTTGCAGGGATTTTTTTTTTTCTTTTCAGTGCTGGGGATCAAACCCAGGACTCTTGCATGCTAGGGAAGTGCTCTGCCATTGAGCCACATCCCCAGCACCCTACCCTGGAAGAATCTTCAGTGGAGAAAAGGGCCTATACTGGGGGAGGGGGTCGATGAACAAGAGGCGTGGACACTGCTTCCGTGATATCTTAGTTACTTTACCCATCGTTGTGACAAACTATATGATGGACAACTTGAGGAAGGAAAGATTTGTTCACTGTTTCAGAGGTGTTAGTCTACCATGACACAGAGGAGCAGAGTGGGTCACATCACAGTGGTCAGGAAGTAGAGAAAGGAGCATGCAGGAAGGGATCAGAGCAAAGTATACCTCAGGACAAGCCCAGTGACCTACCTACTTCCTCCAACTAGGCCCTACTTCCTGTCATCACCTCCCAATAATGCCAGCATATTATGAATCCATCAAAGGATGAATCTGTGATTAAGACAAAGCCCTCATTATCTATTCACCTCTAGAAACACAGACACTCAGAGGTATGCTTTGCTAAGCTCCTGAGCATTTCTCAATGGAGTCAAACTGACAATTAAGATTTTCCATCACATTTCTCTCTCTCTCTCTCTCTCTCTCTCTCTCTCTCTCTCTCTCTCTCTCTCTCTCTCATCTTTCTCACCATGTAGCTGGCCTGGAACTCACTAGGTAGACCATGTTGGCCTGGAACTCACAGAGAACCCCCTGCTTCTGTCTCCCAAAATTAAATGGATGTGCCACCACACCTGGCCCACACATGGGGTCTCATAAGAGAAGCACATATTCTTGCCAGCTGAAAGCTGATTTTGTCCGACTTTTGTAAGTTGCTCTTGAATGGAATGACTTTAATTTTGGTGCCTGGTATCTTATCTGCCAAGCTTTTGGGCTTCGGAACAAATTCCATTTCTTCCCCTCTTGGGTTTTGCCTGAGCCTCCATTATCTGCCTCAGACCAAACATTCTCTATAGACTCCCCAACCTGCACCAACAGGTGGTAAGGGGGTCTCAGACCATAATAGGTGGAATGGTGAAGCTGCTCACAGGACTCCACCATTCCTCCAGCCTGGGGCAGACACTCACTGCCCTCCTGTGTGTAGCCTGTAGTGAGGAGGGCCTAGGAGCTGTTTCTCTTCTGTGTGTCTCCCAGCTGTCCATATGTCTTGGTCTTGGATGAGGAAGGCGGGATCACAAATGACCACAAGGGCTACATAGTTCATAAGTGGAGCTGGAGTAACAAGACAGAGACTTTGCTCTCTCTGGAATACAAGGTAGGTGGGCAGTGTGGGTGTGGGTGGGCTTTCACAGGATGGCCAGCATTAAAAGGCCAGGGATCACCTATAAGACAGGAGCACTGCCCTCAGAGGACTTGAAATCTATTCAGAGATCCTAAGTCAGTGGCTAGTGGTCCAGAGCTAGCCAAATGTGTTGTTCACCAGGCTGCAGCAACTGTTGGCTGCTGTCCTGATCCTTCATGGCAACATTTATAGCATTTGACAGCTTTACTTTTGATAGTTTTATTATTTTTTAAGAAATTTTATTACATTTATTTGTGTGTGTGTGTGTGTGTGTGTGTGTGTGTGTGACTGTGTGTACATGGTACATGTGTGGATGTCAGAGGATAACTTGCAGGAGTTGGTTCTTTCTACCATGTCAGTCCCAGGGATTGAAATAACGTTGCCAAACTTGGCAGCAAGTGCCCTTACCCACGGGCCCATCTTGCTAACCTTATAATTTACTTTTTAATACCTTTTATGTGGGTTTTCCTAGAAATATGTGAACAAATAGGTCTACTAACCTGGGATAGGGCACCAATGCTTGACCAAAGAAATAATTCTAGCACAGTCCATCTTGACGAGTCAATGAGTTTATTAGAGCTATTTACAGGAGTATGAGTGAGACGTTGCTTAGAGAGCATGGACAACTCAGAGGCAGCTGCATCATCAAACAGCCCTCCCCGTAGAGGATTAAGAGGCGAGGAGAAGAGAGGCAGGCGTTCCAGTACAGGCATCCCTGGAGCTCTCTATACAACTATAGGCAGCTGGATAGGTCAGAGAGTCTCCAGGCAGCTTAGCAGGTCCCAGCATCTCCTCTCCCCACCAATTGTTTACAGCTCTAGGACCTTGGCAAGGGGCCTTGTGAATCTTGTAAGTTTTACCTTTCCTGGACTTGTAAGCTTGTTTATTTCCTGAATCTGAAGAGCCTCCCTCCTTCTTCCAGGAGAGAATGTTGCAATTTCCTTGAAACTGCCCTACAGCAATGCTTATCTGTGGCAATAATACACATTCACTTTTTTTGAGACAGGGTCTTGCTATGTAGCTGAAGCTGGCCTTGAACTCATGATCTTCCTGCTCAGTCTCCTGAGTGTTGGGATTACAGGTGTACACCGTCATGCCCAGCTAGTTAGCATTATACTTTAGTTCACTGTTATCTTCCCTGGAGTTAGCATAGCAGAGATCTATGCAGTCAGGGTAACCTGGACTAGAAGGTGGCCTGTGAGCTATAACATGGTGTGATGATGTATGATACAGAAAGAGAGAGGGAGGGAGGGA